TTAATGTGTTTGTGATGTGTGTCTGTATCTGTCTCATAACAGCTCTTATTCTCATCAGGTTCAGATGCTGGAATCTGCTGCTGCTTTGTCTCGTCTATCACAGCGGTCAGTGTACTTTATGTTCATAAACTCTATTTATTCTTGTGTTCAGCGTCAGCTAGAGTTATTCTAGTGAATTATTTCTCTGTTGTGTCACTCAGTGAAGACTTGTGTTAACATTTGTGGATTGATGGTGGAAATATTCACTGGTTTATCATGCAGTTCATTTATTAATAAACATCGTTCAGGAATTCATTACAACTGCACTCGTACATCTGCTACAGCTTTATATTATTTTCATCAACATTTGAAATGTTAAAATGTGCCACTGCTAATATTGCTCACTCTTATTGCCCTTATTTATATTTAAATCTATATTTCTATTAGAAATATCTGGTTGCTGCAATGAAAGTCACTTTTTTAGTGCCGTGTTCCTTATTATAAACAATTGCTGTCCTTTTTTTGTAAAAGCAGGAAAGAGTTAAAGCTAAGTAGTTTATAAGGTAAAGCTCTGGTCGCTGCATTTAGACTTCTGACTGAACCTGCTGCTTTCTATTAATTCATCAACCAGATCTCATTAGTCATTAGTGCTTGAGATTGAGCATTTAATGCTTTTATTTCATGAAGAGACAATGAAGTAACCTGAGGTTAAGTGTTTAGATGAAGAGCACAAAGACAAAATAGATCATGTCTCTGATGAGCAATGAGCATCCTTAATATTTACATTCATTTCTGATGCTGAATATTAGAGAAACTCCTCCATCAGTTCACAGCTGATGAATCCACTTAGATGTGTGAAGAAATGTCTTCAGCAAAAGAAAATCCAGCTGACTAAATTAGACAGAAAATCGAAATTAGAAAATAGACAGAAATGCATGTATTTTTCAGTATTGACACTTTAAATAGAATCGTATTGAATTATATTGTCTGTATTTGCAGGAATCACCTCTATATCTGTGTCAGGAGAAAAGGGAGGAAACATCACACTGACATGTGAACATGAGACCAATAAAATTGTACACATTGAGTTATTCAGTGAACCAGGAGAAATTGATGTGTGTCAGGATGAAGAATGTAGTGGACGAGTGTTTAAAGAAGGAAACTGTGACGTCGTCATCAAGAATCTGAGCTTCAGTGACGCTGGGAAATATATTTTGAGAATGTATTACAATAATGATCTGACAGAGCTGGAGCGACTAATCAGGACGTACCAACTTCATATTCATGGTAAAGACAAAACTGATCAAACATCAGCATCTGCTTTTTTAAATGATTACATTTGGTCCCCAATCATAAATGTGTGTTTATGGATTTGATTGATTGACAGCATTATAATAATGATTAATGTCTTTCTGTTTCTCCTCAGATGAGATTACTGTGAAAACAGGCGAGGAGCTGAAGATGTCTGTTCTGTTGTCTAATGCTGATAAAGTGGAGAAAAGCTCTAGTGGAGAGTGGAGGGAGGTTTGGAGCAGAACTGATGGGGTTCAGAGCGATCGACTGAATGTTACTGATGGGAACCTGATCTTTAAATCGTTTACAGCCAGTGATGCAGGAACATACAGAGTTCTGGATTCAAAAGAAAAAACACTGATCACAGTGACAATAACAGGTGAGAGAAACTCAGATTTGTGGAAATATTATTTATAAATCATGTTCTGCTCACTTGTATATGTTTGGCGCCACCTACTGGCAGCTCTAGGCGAAGTGAGTTCAGAGTAGAGCACATTTCTGATGCAGTCAGTTTCTCCTCGATCTTTCAATGCATGCCATCCTTTGTTTTGTGTTTGTTAAAGCATCATCTGTAGGTTAATTATTCGTTACATAATGCTTGATTATATATATTTGCACATATTTGTGATAAATTCTTTCAAAGCTTTGATTTGATGTAATTTTAGTAATAGCCTCTAGCTGTTAGCCGAGCCTTTATTTGATATGGCACTCAATGTGTTGATTTCATTCTACTTTGATAAGACAATTTCTCTGTACGAGTCAATATTTGTATTTGCCGCTATTTTTGGTTATCATGGTAATCTCATTTAAGTAAATTGATTACATCGATAACATTTTAGCCTTTTCTCAGATATACAGTATCTCACAGAAGTGAGTACACCCCTCACATTTTAGTAAATATTTTATTATATATTTTCATGTGACAACACTGAAGAAATGACACTTTGCTACAATGTAAAGTAGTGAGTGTACAGCTTGTATAACAGTGTAAATTTACTGCCCCCTCAAAATAACTCAACACACAGCCATTAATGTCTAAACCGCCGGCCACAAAAGTGAGTACACCCCTAAGTGAAAATGTCCAAATTGGGCCCAAAGTGTCAATATTTTGTCCGCCCACCATTATTTTCCAGCACTGCCTTAACCCTCTTGGGCATGGAGTTCACCAGAGCTTCACAGGTTGCCACTGGAGTCCTCTTCCACTCCTCCATGACCACATCACAGAGCTGGTGGATGTTAGAGACCTTGCACTCCTCCACCTTCAATTTGAGGATGCCCCACAGATGCTCAATAGGGTTTAGGTCTGGAGACATGCTTGGCCAATCCATCACCTTCAACCTCAGCTTCTTTAGCAAGGCAGTGGTCATCTTGAAGGTGTGTTTGGGGTCGTTATCATGTTGGAATACTGCCCTGTGGCCCAGTCAATGAGTCACATGACACCGGGGAGAGAAAATGGCTAATTGGGCCCAATTTGGACATTTTCATTTAGGGGTGTACTCACTTTTGTGGTCAGCGGTTTAGACATTAATGGCTGTGTGTTGAGTTATTTTGAGGGGACAGCAAATTTACACTGTTATACAAGCTGTACACTCACTACTTTACATTGTAGCAAAGTGTCATCTCTTCAGTGTTGTCACATGAAAAGATATAATAAAATATTTACAAAAATGTGAGGGGTGTACTCACTTCTGTGAGATACTGTAAGTCTCAGAGCTGCTTTATGCATATTCTTTGGTTGTTGTATAATTATTCAGATTATTGTTTGTTCGCTGTTTTTTACAGCTTTATTCCTAATTCATAATGTACGTCTCAATGGCATCTTATTAAAATAACAAAGACTAAGGTGAATCCTGACTCATCTGGGAGAAGTCATGACCTAATGGTTAGAGAGTTGGACTCATGTGTTACGAGTCCGACTCTCTAACCATTAGGCTGGCGGGTTTGAGTCTCGTACCGGCAGGGATTGTAGGTGGGGGGAGTGAATGTACAGTGCTCTCTCCCACCTTTAATACCACGACTGAGGTGCCCTTGAGCAAGGCACCGAACCCCCAACTGCTCCCCAGGCGCTGCAGCAAAAAATGGCTGCCCACTGCTCCGGGTGTGTGTTCACGGTGTGTGTGTGTTCACTGCTGTGTGTGTGCACTTTGGATGGGTTAAATGCAGAGCACTAATTGGCCACATGTCACTTCACTTTCACTTTATGGATGGAGTTTGGCTGACTGTTAAATTGCATTAGCACATGCGAGAAGAACAGTACAAAGCATTTATTCATCATGATCTGAACAGCAAATTGATGCTAAACTGTGACTGAACTTTCAATATCCTCTAGAATCAAAGGAAAAGCTGGACACTGAACAACACAGTAAGTAAAACAGGCATTGAGAGCTTTACAAAATCCTCAAGCAATGAGTTTAATAATGAAAAACACATTTTTTTAAATGTGCTCTCTTCCCATCTCCCTCTTTTCCGTATTTAGGGAATTGGATTGTGCCAGTTTTAGTGTGTTTGGTGATTCTGGTGGTTCTGATTGTAATTTCTGTCATCATATGGCGACGTCGGCACAGAGCTCACACACAGGTTCCAGCAGAGGAGAATCAAGAGCCCCCACTGGGACTGGAGGAACTATAATGATCTTCACTGAAAGTGACTCAACTGCACAGGGGCCCTGAACACCTGGTGACACAATTTACAACGTTACTGATGTAATTTCAACATAAGTCAACATACTTCTACAGCTAGGGGGTGTAAATGTACTTTGGGACTGTGGCTACAGCAGTCCTGACGTGCATTGTGTGCACAACAGCAGGCCAAACTGGAAACCAGTTACAGGTTTGCTTCTGTGAACAATCAATGAACTGCAAGCACTTACTGAAAGCATGGGTCAAATCACTACTCAATCTGAAGATTTGTGTGACTACAATGTGGAATTGGACACAATTTTCTTTTGTTTATGAGCTGAGATGTCACTAAGTGCATTCTTTTGAGAATCTATTTAAGTATAAGAAAGTTTGGGCAAACCCAGAGCAAATGCAAAGTACACATGTTGTTTTAGATTTATGGTCATGTTTGTCTGTCTGCTTAAAGACAAAGACTGAGAATCATATAAGTGTGTAGTAATTTTTTGTAAAATCTAAAATAAAACCAAGCTATACGCTGTATTTGTTAAGAACTTTGAACAGTGTTGTTGAGCCAAATATTGTGAGATCAGAGATTTTACTACTATTGAGTGATTTTCAATCCATTTAACTTGATTAATTTGACTAATTCTCCCTCAGGAGAAGTTGTGGATGTCCTCTGAATGAGTTTAACCCTCAGGCTTGGTTACAAGCCTCTCAGTCGCATCAAAGCTATCATTATGTGCATTACAGTTTTAGATTGTGAATTTCTAATGTCTCATCTTTTATTCACAGTCACTGGGACGTCTGCAGGGCAGCAGTAGTTCTCTGGGACTGAGGAATACTTTTTTGCCAGATTAGAGTTTCTTTTGAGATTCTCAAAGTCTTGCCCAACTTCACTTTCACATACAAAAGATTCTAATGAGAATTTAATCATCTTTTTAGTTTATGCAATCTCAAATTCTTTGCACATAAATGTTTACTTTTCAAATGTTGCAAAGTTATTCTTGTAAAGCCAATAAACAATAGTGACAGGAAATTATTAATATCAGAATTTAGGTTGCAATTTACATGTTAACAGTAAGTTTCCCTACTATATTCGGTGAATAAATGTAATTACATTTAATGTGATTTCACAGTAAAATACTGTTAAAAATACTTTTTTTGGATGTGAAAAAGAAAAAGTCATTGTATAATTTACAGTAAAAACCCGTAAATTGACACTCCCAGAATTCCCTGCATGACACTTCATATTTGATGTTTTTTTGTTGAAATAACATGTTTCTTCTTAGTTTTTTCTTATCAGTTGTGTACACTAGGGTTTAATCTTACATCTAATGTTGTTAAATGAATGTTTATTGCATTATTTCAGTATCATGCATGTCACCACGATGGGGTTTAGTGTTTGTGTGAATGACACTGTGCACCTTCTATATATAAGTATTGTCCTCCTCAGCTCGTAGAAAAGCTGTATGTGATGAGCTTTGGTTCATCATGAGACTCTCATCACCAGCTGTTTTTGGTGGTTATCAGTGCATTACAATGGATCAAAACAGATATTAGTATTTTAACATGTTGGTTTATTAACATTACATCAGTTAATGAAATACGGTATTTTATTGTGAAGTCAAGTCTGTAAAACCTAAAATGTTGCTACCGTACTTTTTACGGTGAAGTTCTGGCAACCACAGCTGCCGGTATTTTACCGTAAATGTCAACGTTTTTTTTTACAGTTCCCTCAACACTTCTAAAAAGGTAAATAAGAATTGACTTACCGCAGCAGCTGGAGAAAGGGAAGGAGAAGCTCAAACCTCTTTGAACATTGAGCTGAAAAGACCCTCGCCAACAGGAGATGGGAGGTCACGGAGGGACGGTCACCAACAGTAAGAATCCACCGGCCAGCCCAAAAAGCAGAATCCAGCGGCCTGGTTGAAGGTTTAATGCGTATTCGGTCTTTTACTTGCGCGTCTGAATTTATCAGGACTTAGTGTAAATTTTAGTCTAGCTCTGTTTTCAATCTGACTCCAATTTTAAGTGATCAGTACATTTAGGCAATGTTTCTAATTAAAAACTGATCACAAATATCGATTGTTTATTTATTTAGATATTTGACTATTCTGGATATCCCATACTTTCAATTATTCGTTCATTCACTTACTCAGAGGATACAGGGTGATTATAATACCTTTCAGTGCCGCACCCTGCTAGCAAATAACAAAAAGTGTATTTTTTTTCTATAATCACAAAAACTTGTTAAGCCAGTGTCAGACAGAAATCAGAAGATCCCTAATGGAGAGCCCCCTGCCCCGCTCATTGGTACTTAAGTATGATCTGTCCTGGACGCAGATTTGCGGAAATGTTAGACTACACAATCTACTTGAAAAATTATTTCAGAAGAGATCAGAAATTATTATTTGTCAGGTAAAATTGTATCATATCAATTACATAATGAAACAATTAGTAGCCAGGATAATGCACTTGTGAATCACATTGTAGCCGCGTGGCAACCCCGCTCCTGTACATAGATGCTGTAGCCATATGAGGAATAGCCAAGTGATCCACGCAGGAGACAAACAAATTTAACATAGTCACACATGTAACAGTTATCCTACTTTAGCACAAGACACATGGTCTAAAATGCACAGAATATACTACCTTTAACTAATTTCAAAGAACACTTACAGTAAAGCAGTCGTGTGTTTTATAGAATAAACTTAACTAGCCTATGTGCACATGTAGTAGCACAAACAACTATACAGTGTGTTCTGTGGGCACAATGTGTTTAGCACAATTAAACTTTTGAATAAAAACAAAATGCATACCTGACCGCAGAGAGAGACACACAGCAGCGAGTGTTCTGCTGCAAAGCTCCAGAGACTCTCACACACTGCATGGGGTTTTTCTGACTACAGAATCCCAAAGTACGTTCCGAAGGCAGCATATTTCAGTTTTCGGATGCAGCACATATTAGGGATTTCTTGCACGTCAGAAGTCATTACTTCTATGAGTCTGATTTGGACTTTCTGCAGGAGAGCGCCCTCTGGCTTCGAGTATGAATAAAACACACACTGCACGAGAGAGTTCAGCACTCCTGATATTCACTTCTCCTCATTCTGGATACGAATAAACATCAGGTCATGCATCGACTATCGATGCTGTCTCTTTGAATTTAAATCTAGATTTAAATCTAGAAACCTCTGTGTGAACACACCTGCCCAAATAAAGGGAAGAATTTAAATTTTATTAAATTAAATATTTATTAAATATAAAAAATGCAGCTAACGTAGTTCTGCACACAGCAATATAAACAAAGGTGCCTGTTCTCTTTCGTAGTTGCTGTTTGATTGAGAAAAGTTTAAAGGGCGTCGAGGGGTCTTTTTTATGTTAACTGACTAAAATCTATTATTACAGTATTTATTTAAAAAACGTAGAGTGCCTTAAAAATAATTTTCACAACACAATAAAACAGGCTTATACTGATTTTATAGTCCTCCGAATTATTCTCATCAATCCTGTTCTTATTATCATCTTTCAAAAAATTAATAAATTCAGAACAGCATTAGAATAGAATTCTATTTTAAATAAGACAACAATAAATAAAGCAACAACAGTAGTGTTTACAACAGCAAAACCACCATACCCTGTAAACGCAATAATAATAATAATAATAATAATTCAGTTTCTAACTCCAGAGTTATTAAGCTTTTTTTTATTATTATTGAATTTTTGCAGACATCAAAAGCTATTACATCGGTTACAATATGAGGTAAGATGTCTGATTAACATTCTTTTACTTTTAAATTTAAAATGGTCTTTTCTGTTCTGTGTCCCTGCTTGTAATTATGTATTTGCGTATTCCAGTTTACCTCGTCATGCAGTTTTATCATTGTCGTGGCTGTTTTCAGCACCATCACAGAACCTTTAATGTTTTCATTAATATCAATATGAATAACCGTGTAAATTAAACACAATAATGAAATAACTAGTAACTTAATGTAGTGTTTTGCATTAAACTGTGATAATGTTAAAGAAATTCAGTCATATTAAAATATTTGACGACATGACAACCATCTAAAAAGACAGGTTTACGTGTCGTTTATAAATTGAATACAAACATTAGTTGGTTGAATCATGTTGACTCTGAAGCGGTTTCTCAGTCGGTGTCTCTGCCTCTCTTAGATACTCTTTTTATACCCAATCATGTTTCTGACCGGTTGCCAATTACCCTAATTAGTTGCAAAATGTTCCTCCAGCCTTTTGTTGCCCGCGGTCCAATTTTTTTGAGACGTGTTGCGGCCATCAAAATCAAAATTACCTTACTTTTCCCCATTAAATTGTACATTTTAGTAATTTGATATGTTTCCTATATGTTCCATTATGAATAAAACGTGGGTTTATGATATTTACAAATCTTTGCATTCTGTTTTTATTTACATTCTGCACAGCGTCACAACTTTTTTGGAATTAGGGTTGTAAATACAGTGTATACTGTAAATGAAAAATACATTACAGAAATATGTTGACAGAATCCTCTGCAGATCTTTTGGCTCTGAAGACAGATGTTGCAGGCGTCACTGCATCTTTTTGATGATCGCAGCGATCAGAATCAGAACCGGCAGAGCAAACACAACCGACACAAACAGTCCCGCCGGCCCGAACAAACTCCAGTGATCTACAGCAGGAAGACAAAACATAGATTTTTAACATATGCATTTATTTTTTATTTTCATTTTTATGCATGCCGTTTGAAGATTTTGTAAGTTCTCAATGCCTCCTATTTTAAAAAAACCTACTACGTTTTTTGTCATCATCCATGTAGTTCAGATTTCCCTCTGATTCTGTAGAGGATATTGAAAGGTTAATCATACAGTATAGAATAAACCTCAGCTGTCCACTTTAAAAAATAATATTTCTAAACATCCACTGAACTTTTCTCATCTGTGACAGTCACTGTGATCAAGATTTCTCCTTCATAGCCCAGAACTCTGTATGCTCCTGCGTCATCAGACGTAAACTCTTTAATGGTCAGAGTCCCGTCACTGTCGGTCAGTCGACTGTATGCTACATTAACCCTTGACTTGCTGTCTCTCTTCCAGACCTTCTTCCATTCTGTGCTGCTTTTGTTTTGATGCATAACTTGATGAGCATCTGGCAATAGAACATCTAACTTCAGCTGCTCACCGATTTTCACTGAAATATCATCTGAGGAGAAACAGAAAGACATTAATTATTCGCTCTAAAAAATGCTGGGTTGTTTCAACCCAACTTTGGGTCAAACATACTGTTGGGTTAAATTTTTTATTTTAATTTTTAACCCAAAAGTTGGATTAGTCCATATTTGACCCAAAGTTGGATTGAAACAACCCAGCATTTCTCACGATATCTGTCACAGTTATGGACTTCTTTTGCTGTGTTTTAATTTATGCCCATTTTGAGTTTGACCTCTTCCCATGTTCTGATTAGTTATCATCCTCAGCTGTCTGTCCCTCGTTATCTCACCCTACATAAGTTCCCCTATCAGTTCAGTTAGTGTCGGTTATTAATGTTGTGTATGCTGCTTGTAGTTCCCTGTTTCTTCACTAAATTTCCGTCTCCTTGGCTTATTATTAAACAGTGTTTGGATTCTCTTCTTCTTTGTGTGCTTTCCTCCCGCAAGAGCGTGACAGTATCATAATCACTTTGATAAAAACGCAGACTAATCTGACTTTTAAGCAGGATGTTAAGTGTCTCTGTTGGTTTTAGACCATATCAACACAATTACTAAAGGAAAACCAGAAAGCTCATGCTGATGGTTTGATCAGTTTTGACTTTACCATAAATATGAAGATGGTACGTCCTGATTTGTGGCTCCAGCACTGACTTAGCATTATTGTAATAGACATTTAAAATGTATTTCCCAGCATCACTCAGTCTCAGATCCTTGATGACGACGTCACATGCTCCTTTTTTACATACTCGCTTACTGCAGTATTTCTTATCATAAACAAGGATGTTTTTTGACTGTCTGTTTAAATGAATAAGAAAAATCTCTCTGGCTTTAAATTCACACGGCAGGATGATGCTGCCTCCCTTTTTTCCTGCCACATGTATAGGGATGGTTTCTGCAAATATAAACAGTTTAATTGTTATTCAATAAAAATATCAATACTGAAAAAAACATGCTTTTTCTTTGTATTATCAGTAATCAACGTCATTATAAAATATTCTAGCAGAGTTCTTTAAGTCAACTGGATTAAAGGAGCCAACAATATTAGCAGTGTCACATTTTAACATCTCCAAAGTTTAAAATATTGATGGCAGTATAGCTCAAAGTGCCAGTGCATTTGTAGTGAATTCCTGAACAACATTAAATGAATAAAAGAAGTCAGTCATGGTGTGTGATGACCAGGGATGCACATAAGTTATTCAGTCTGTTCCAATGTGAGCACCTGGAGATTGGGTTTGGTGTGACCCATATAACTATAAATAATTAATAATAGAAATAATAGTATTATTGCACTTTACTTAATAAAATAATAAGCAAAATAATAAAGTGTGATGGTACTATTATATATTAAAGTAAAAAGTGAGTATTAAATAAAAAATACAATTATTTTATAGTACACTTAAAAATAGAATGCTAATATTTACATTTTAATTTTCTTATATTTATTTTTTACTTATATATATATATATATATATATATATATATGAATTTTAATCATTTACTACTACAGAGCCCCTAAAGGGACACGGTGGTGGAAAAAATTCGGGGTGGGAGCAAAAAATATTTTTCAAATCTTTTGCGTTCCCCCGAGAAATTTTGCGTTCAAAACCAGTTGAGTTTGGACAAACACTCCTTACAAAATCTTCAAACAGTGGTTCATACAGCTCCATACACTCACAATGAAGCAGTTAATAGAGTTTTATTTTGAACTTAGACTCAAATATAAAGAAATAAATTCAGTGCTTAGCTCAAGGCATGGTTTAACAGTTTATTAATAAAATATACTACATACAGGAAACCAGATAAGGCCAGAATATGAACAGAAAGTGCTAAATCGCACGTTAATATAAGAAGACAGTGATATAATAAGCCCAAATTTAATTTTTTATTAAAAATATACACTATGAACAGGCAAGCGCTAATCCATTAAGCCATGTTAGGAGTTTTCTTTATAATGTTTTTTACGGGGGAGAAAACCTGTGAAACTTGCGCGTTCCATTCATATTCTGGGTCATCTGCTTTCCTGTGCGTATTAGATTTTATTAATAAACTGTATAAACAGATTTGGTCTTTTTATGTCACCATTTTCGTCCATTAGCCTAAGCATTTTCTGTAATGGTTTTCTATGGGGGAGAAAAAGCTAAACATGCATTAACGCATATTATGGGCTATTCTGCTATATTAGTAATATTATTAATAAGGTTACTTAATATTAATAGTGTTATTTGTATTAATAACCAATTTGGCCCTCCAATGTCTCTGGTTTAGTACATTGCTGATTCCAAAGCATCGGTTCTTATACTGCTGGATCTATCTGCTGCTTTTGACATGCAATCATCAGATCCTCCTGTCTGCCCTCTCTTCACTGGGCATCACAGGGGTTCCTCTTCGCTGGTTTGAATCCTATCTCACTGGTAGGTCTTTCAGGGTGGCTTGGGGAGGGGAGGTATCCAAAGCTCATCAACTGGTCACTGGGGTTCCTCAGGGATCAGTTCTTGGACCCCTCCTCTTCTCCATATACACTACATCACTGGGTCCCATCATACAGGCACATGGCTTCTCCTACCATTGCTATGCTACACACAGCTCTATCTCTCATTTCAACCAGATGATCCAACGGTAGCTGCACGGATCTCAGGCTGCCTGGCGGACATCTCGGCATGGATGAAAGAACATCACCTACAGCTCAACCTGGCAAAAACTGAGCTTCTTGTCTTTCCTGCCACTCCAACTCTACAGCATGATTTCACCATCCAGCTAGGTTCTTCTACAATTACCCCATCAACTTCGGTCAGAAATGTTGGTGTAATCTTTGATGACCAGCTGACCTTCAAAGATCACATTGCAAAGACTGCTCGATCTTGCAGGTTTGCATTGCACAACATCAGAAAGATCAGGCCCTTTCTAACGGAGCATTCTGCACAACTTCTTATCCAGGCCCTTGTCATTTCTAGGCTGGACTACTGCAGTGCTCTTCTGGCTGGACTTCCATCAAGCACAATCAAACCTCTACAAATGATTCAGAATGCAGCGGCGCGACTGGTCTTCAATGAGCCCAAAAGAGCCCATGTTACTCTGGCCTCTCTTTATCTCCTTGCACTGGCTACTGAATCTCTGACAATTTTCAAGCTACACCTGAAAACTAATCTCTTTCGATGCTACTTTACTTCATCCTAAATTTAAAAAAATAAAAGCACTTCCTGTGTCTGTTTGCCTCTTTAAGAAGAATCGCTTTATGCATTCCCCAATTGCAAGTCGCTTTGGATAAAGGTGTCTGCAAAATGACTAAATTTAAGTATAAATTAAGCCACATTAAGCGTACAGAATGTCCCAAACAGAATGTGCAGCACTGACTGTATTTCTTTATACTTGAGTCCAATTTCTAAATACAACTCTATGAACTGCTCCATTGTGAACGTACTAGGGGTGTAACGATTCACTCGTTTTCTCGATGCATCGATTACAAACCCTGACGATGCAATGCATCGATCTTGAAACAATAATCGGACAATAATCTATTTAAAACGCTAAGAATCGAATGAATCGCGATTCCTATAGCGATTCAATGCTTTCAAAATATATACACATTAAATTGCTACAAGAACTAATTAATGGAGACCTCACATCTCTCCTTCACGCGCTCCACTAACCGCCTGTGACTGTCACAGGATTGCGCTCGTGCTCCGTTCGTCGCACTCACACATTTTTGAGCAGCTGATGTGTGATCTCTCCTTAGTACTCGTGGCCAGTAATGCTAAAGTGAAGTAGTTTCGCTTTTCTGTAGTTTCTCAGTGGCTCTCGGTCATACCGACGACGACAATACCCGAGCAAGTCGAAGGCTGTGCATTTATTGCATGGACGGAGCACAAATGAAAGTGTCTAAAGCAGGGCTTTCCAAACTCGGTACTGGAGGGCCGGTGTCCTGAAGAGTTTTGCTCCAACCCTAATTAAACACACCTGAACCAGATAATCAAGCTCTTACTAGGCATACTAGAAACTTAAAGGCAGGTGTGTAGAGGCAAGTTGGAGCTAAACTCTGCAGGACACCGGCTCTCCAGGACCGAGTTTGGACAGCCCTGGTCTAACGCATACACACAGTTCCATTGAATGATAAATGTGTTTTAACAATGTCCTTCAACCGAATGTACGAGGAAAATAACCACAGCATTAACAACAACCTTGAAATAAGTGCACGAGGTTTATCTGATAATCAGATGCATGAAACCAGCGTTCGTTGCTATAGCAAACAGACCTCAGGCGCGTTTTCTTTCAGGATCTTCATTTGCCGATGGAGAGGAAAAGTTAAATACTATAGCATTTTATTTTATGAAAATTAGATAAAGAAGTTTTCGCACTGAAAGAGAAGTGATCTCGCGCTCATAGATGTGCCAGGCTATATCTGCAGCTAAACTGTATACACAGCAGAATGAACTGATGAAACGTTAAGACAATAAACACAATAAATAAATACAATTTATGAATGACGCAGTGCTAATGGACACATAATTTATTACAGTAGCCTACAGAAACTATAAAGTATATATTTTTGTTCTGTGCAGAAAATTGAAATAATTGTTTGTAGTATATAAAACAATCATAATATTGCCATTAGGGAAAACATTATAGATTACAAATGATTGATTATTGTCCAGCAGTGTATTTGATTACTTATAGCAAATTCAAAGAAAGAGCTAAGAAAAGAATTCCTTGTAAAAAAAAATAATAATAATATTACTCCCCCTCCTTTGACAAGCGCAGTCTGCTCTGATTGGCCAGCTGACCCAGTGCATTGTGATTGGCCGAAAACCACAAGCACGCGTCGGAAATGTAACGCCCCTTACCATAATAGCGAGCTTCAACTTTCAAAGTAAATATCAATAATGTGGTTAGTTTTACCATCAGTTTAAGCCTGAAAGAGCAACAGAGTCGCGTGACAGACACAGTGATGATGCAGTACACAAGCCGCGGTTAAGACAGCTGACGTGCTATGATTTCTGACAGACAGTTCACTCTCCTGTGATGTGACTCTGTTCCCCTCACACACACACACACAATGCGCAAAACTCCGCATTTGAACAGTCAATAGCAAATACTTAAACTAATAACAAAACATACTTGCAGTCGCTGATTCAGAAGCGGCAGATTGTCATAGCAAAGTCGGAGTTGACTTTTTTTTTTATATATTTGTGCACAGCCAGCCTTGTACTCTTCTAGGTTCAAAAAACTGTAGTCCATTAAATGCGTTGCACAAATTCGAACATCTGGGTTGTGCTGTTCTGTTGTAAATAAATCTTAACCAATGATTCCTAATTGCATCTACTTCCGGAAGGCCAAATAAAGTGCTTTTGCTTTCTCACTGAAACACACAGCGTCTCCCTGACATGCTGCTTCAACACTACTGCTGTTCCTGAAACCACGCCTTCTTTCTTTGTGTGCACATTTGGGCGGCATTATGCTAATATTTCCACATAGTGACGTAGATATGTGGGGGCGTGTTAGAACGAGCCGTTTTAGGTAGGCGTGGCTGACTCTTAACTTTTATAAAGAATATCTCTTTGGATTTGAGACTTTAGTCTTTGCAACTTTACAGATCTTCTTTATGCAACAAGAGCTTGTAACACTCCAAAGAGAAAGGAAAACTTGAAATCGCATCATTATGCCTTGGCAAACTGCTAGCTGGTCAAGCTAGTTTGTCTTAACATAGTGTCTGTGTTTATGCAACTGGCCCCAGAGCTGTTGAGAAACTCCCATAGGCTTCCATAGGAGCTGTGGAATGCAGAAGTAAAGCGTGTTTCTGAGCAGCCAATAGTTCCAAACAACCAGTAGTTCCAACATTGAAGGCCATTCATTTCAGTGTTAGTCACACTTGCCAGAATGTTGAAGAAATTACAGCATTTTTTGACGTTTTAATGCATTAGTTGATCTCTCGGAAATCTGTCTAGTGTCGACTCTATGTCGAACCGGCAACCAATTTAGAGCCATTCAAATAGGAGTAATATGTTGGCGTTTGCGGACTCCCGTTAGAAATCTGGCTGCAGCGTTTTGCACCATTTGAAGCCTTGTAATAGAGGACTGGGAAATTCCAGCATATAAAGAATTACAGTAGTCCAATCGAGATAAAACGAAAGCATGTGTGACTCTTTCAAGACCTTTGGGGGACAGAAACGGCTTTACTCTAGACAGAAGTTTCAGATTAAAAAAGCCTGACTTAACTACTGTGTTTATGTGTTGATCAAACTTAAAGTAGGAGTCCAGAGTTATTCCCAGACTTTTCACAGTTAGTTTGATATAAGAGTGCAGATTTCCAACATTGACAATGTTTTTTTCTTTCCCCACAGAGGGCCCAAACACAATCAGATTCAGTGATCTTTGCTAAGCTACAGCTAAAAGTGCAACCGCCAGACCCGGAGATCGGCTGAACAAGTTTTCCCACAACCCACACCACAGAACCATGATAAAAAAATATAAATAAATAAATTTTAAAAATCAGTGATGAATAATCATAAACTAAAACAAATTCCAAACTGGAAAAACAAAATCTCAAAGTTTTGATATTACAAACAGTGAGGAAATAATCGACATAGCCCATTGTGTCTGATTGCATTATCCGTTATTCAATATTCACAGGCCTTTTAATTTCACTATTGATTTAAATTTGGGGAAGAGTTACGCCCTTTTCAAAATATGAGATCATTGGAGTCCATACTGAATAAAAAGGGGTCAGCATCATCTCTTCACAGGTGTTCTTGGGTCATTCATTTCTTAACCCGTATTTGATCAAATTCAATTATATTTCATTGCATGAATCTGTCTTTTATGAATTGGGGCTACCTTACTGGATGGAAATCCTCCCCTTAATTAAAGAGTTCATCCAATGAGTTATTTGGTTGAGTTTCGCTGCTTATTGCGCTTGAACGGTTTAAATCACTTGTTTTTAAATGCCCACCCCTAGAATGTCAGTCCGATTGACTTGGATAGTGGTGCAACAGAAAAACAATCAACTCTACTTGGAACTGAAAATCAAAATTAGTTTCGATTTTCAAACAACAATTACTGCAAACTGACCACTGTAATTGAAAAACCGTAACAGCAGGAGATATTTCAACCTGAAGAGCTGGTTATGTGGTTGATACAGGCTACACTGTAGGGAGTTTTATGCAAGGATAAATGCTTTTCTGATATAATAACCAACTTAAAAATATTTATAAATGATTCCAGTGTAATCCTCTGTTTGAAATGATCAGTCAAACCCACAAACAACAAGTTTTATGAATTATTTTACCTGCTACCCATCAGTCCGCTCATATGCGTATAGGCTGATCACCGTCACAATCTAGTAATAAATAGCCCACAAATAAAAACCATCATCATCATCAAAATTAATGGATACGTTCACAGTAAACATCATGCACTCATTTCCTTAGCAGGTTTAGTTTTCCACAAAACAATTGTTAGACAAAATTACATTGTTTGATCTGGATTTAAAAACACGAAAGTTTCCATGGGAAAACTTCTGCAAATCTGCATGGCCTTTTTTCAGGTGTCATAATAAATTGATGCACACGTGTGATGTTTTTAGTTTTAGTGCTGCTTAGAACTCTCAACAACACGTTTAACATTGCATTTTAATCAAGCTTCATGTGGCGTGAAACATGCATTTACTTTCTCTTGAACTCATATTAATGCTCCTCTAAAGCTTTGCAACAACAGACGTCTAGACGAGATCTGGCCATCAGAACAAGTTTTCAAACAGTGAATGAGAATACAAATGTAACTTCAGGGCTAAGCCAGGCCAAAATAATAAACAAAAAGTAAATTACCTTAACTTCAGAAACGAACCCCCGGTTTCACAGACAAGGCTTAAGCCTAGTCCCAGACTAAAGTGTAAATCTGAGCAGTTTTAACTGAAAGAATTGCACTGACTGATCTTAAAATATATCAGTGCCTCTGTTTTGTCTCAAGATGCACGCCAGTAATGTTTTTTCTAAGCCACGCTAATACAAATTACTTAAATGTCCTAATTGAACTATTGCCTAGTCCTGGTTTAGTCTAAGCCCTGTCTGTGAAACCAGGCCTAAACGTTCTGAACAAAATACAAGAACTTCCCTAACACCTTAACTAAAGCAAAAACAGGAGAAAAGTATGTCAGGAATAAATGGCTCCTACAGTGTTCATGACTCAAAGGCCATTTGTTCTCAGGTTACATAAGAAAAGTAGACTATAAGTATACTTTCCTATTTGTAGTTTAAAAGAAGTATACTAATAGCACACTTGAATAAACTTATTTTTCGTAAGGGAAGTGGCCAAACACACCATAATATATATATATATATATATTTTTTTTTTTTTTTTTTTTTTTAGAAACATCAGGCATACTAAAAAGTAATGTCAATAAATACATAAATATTTAACATTAGTTTCAGAGCCTGTGCACACATGAAGTGCTTTGTCATGCATTTTTCAAACTTTTGAAGAACACATGAAAAAAAAAAAAAAAAAAAGAAAGAAAGGATGAAATGCGACAGATTTACGTCGGGACCACACAAAAATAAATGCACTGTTCAAAATAAATAAAAAAAATAAAATCTGCTGAACTTCTCGGCGAGTACGTAAGATGTCGCGTGGTGACGTCACGCGGCACTGATCTCACGCACGGGTCACGTGATCGGTCTGAAACTACAACAGCTGCAGAGATGTCACTTCTTCATTTCGCGTTAATATGTTCATAGTTTAAAACATGTGGGCGTTTAAAGCGAATTTGGCATTTTCTGTGCTGTTTGTCGTGTTTGGTGCTGCGCTTGGATTCCTGGGGAATAGAGATACATTTCGGCGGAAGGTAGAAATAAATCACTGTCTGAGATCCGAAACAATGTAGCAAACTTCTTTCCGGTGCAACAACAACAACAACAAACACGTACAAAGCTGCAAATACTTACATAACAGACACAGTTTAGAAGAAGAAGTGCTTTTATGCTTCCAGACACTGGACGTGGTGTATTTTAATTAATGTATTAAATTTTATAATAATAATAATGTATTATTTTACCTTACAAAAGTATTTTACAGTGGTTCAGTGATGGATAATACTGTGATGAAATCTTGTTTACCACATAATTAATACCATGCTACATGCAAAACAACCACAACATTACTATAGTATTCTGTCTAAATCATTATTGCAGCACTACTCTACATTTATAGCTTGATTTCTGCCTGTCCTGTTAGTCATCAGGTTACTCTTTGTGTGTTTTTGAGCAGAACTAGATCATATTTCAGTGTAATTAGTGACATGAACATGTGTATTATATACATTTTTAGAGTTATGATTGATGTGTGCTGTTGTTTCATACATAAGCCTTTCAAAACCCATAATCTGTGTCTTGTTTTATAATTCTACATGTATTAAGTTACCGTGTTATTAGTGATTGATAATGATGATGAATTATTCACATCATTCTGGACATTTGCAAGCTATAAATAATCTTTAATTGAGATGTGATAAAAGTTCATATTGAAACTAAATCAGGGCTCAAAAATAAGGGTTTTCTTCCTGATGGCAGAAGGTCACGTAACTTTTTTACTTTTTCCAGCCAATAAAAGTGATCGATTTTTATTTTGTGTATTTTGTCATTTAATTTTATGTTTTCATTATTTGAAATGTATTTGACCTTCTAACTCTAGCACTCTCTATTCTAAGAAAACAAACTCTTGACCCTCTAACACTTGCACTCTATTCTTTTTCTATTCTATCTTGTTTTATTTTTTATTTTTTTAAATGACCCTCTAACACTAGCATTTTCTATTCTTTTTCTATTCTTTAGACATGTTTTATTTTTATTTATTTAAAAAAATGACCCTCCAACACTCGCATTTTCTATTCTTTTTCTATTCTATATTCTTGTTTTATTTTTATTTATTATTAAAAAATGACTCTTTAACACTAGCATTTTCTATTCTTTTTCTATTCTATCTTGTTTTATTTTTTATTTTTTTAAATGACCCTCTAACACTAGCATTTTCTATTCTTTTTCTATTCTTTAGACATGTTTTATTTTTATTTATTTAAAAAAATGACCCTCCAACACTCGCATTTTCTATTCTTTTTCTATTCTATATTCTTGTTTTATTTTTATTTATTATTAAAAAATGACCCTCTAACACTAGCATTTTCTATTCTTTTTCTATTCT